AAAAAAAAAAAAAAAAAAAAAAAAACCCAAAAAAACACTACTTGAGGGGCCAGCAGGTGACATGGTGGTTAAGGCATTGGACTCCCACAACACGGCAAACCATGGATCAAGTCCTGGATCTGGTGCTTGCTTTCTCAATTTTTGTATCAGTCTCTCTCTGGTGAAATTAAATAATAATTATGATGAAGAATAAAATTAAATAAATAAATAAATCTTAGGGGAAAGAAGCTACTTGCAAATATCCTAAAAGTCTTAGGGGACCAGCCTTTGGCATGGTGGGTGATATGGCTGGATCCCACATGGCAAACTATGTGGTACAAAGTCAGGACCCAGCAGCTTCAAAAACACACTATGCACACATATGTGTGTGCCAAAGGTCCTAAAAGGAGGGAAATATGTAGAAGGGATTGAAGCATGACCCTCCCCCACAGGGGAGTGCTTTCTCACTTTCCTTTCTCTCTCTCTCTCTCGCTGTCTCTCGCCATTGAGCACACGCCTTCTACCAGTCTTTTTTTCTTTTCATTATTTTTAAAAAGCAAGACTGGGGCCAGCAGGTGGTATGGTAGTTAAAGTGCTGGCCTCCTACATGGCTGACTATGGTTTGAGTCTCAGACCTGGTGACTTGCTATCTCACTCTCTGTGTCTCTCTTTCTGATAAAACTGAAAATAATAATAAAATAAAATAAATGAATTTTTAAAAAAGGAAAGACTTAGGAACCAGCAGCCTCAGGAATCTCTGAAAGTTGGCTGTGGGGTGAGGTCAGGACAGTTGCCTGGTATGTCACAGGGGAAGGCTTTTAATCAATCTTCCCATTCATAAGACCCGTTTGAAACATGTCACTGCCATAAATTCAAACAGCACCAGGCAAGCCATCAGATTATTCCCTCTCCATATCAACTGTCATGAATATGTACATTTCTCTGCTCTGAGAATGTCAATGAAAAATAGGTAAATCTCCCAAATACAAGAAAGAGTAAAGGACATGATTACTGAAACATACAAGAGGATCACTGCTAAACTATGAAGTGTATGTATTCAAGTATACATTCAAGAAAAGGAGTTCAAAAGCTATACATATTGATGGAATATCAATTTTATATTTCAATGAAAAGTAAAAAAAAAAAAAAAAAAGAAAGAAAGAAAAAAAGAAAAAAAAATTTGTCCCTTCCTCCTCATGAGAGCCAGTGTTAATGGTCCTCTGCCTCCTTAAATTAAATGAAGTCATTTTAAAGTGAAGATTTCGGGCCAGCAGGTGGCACAGAGGTTAAGGTGTTGGACTCTACATGACTGCGTAGTTTAAATTCCAAACACTGGCTTAAAAATCACGCTGGGCACATGTATGCATGGGTGTGTGTGTGTGTGTGTGTGTGTGTGTGTGTCTGTGCATCCCACATCCCAGGAGGAAAATGGAGATGAGATTACAACGTGCCCATCCCCAGGCGGTGAGTTCTTGCTTTCTCTCTTTCTCCCTTTGTCATGCTCTGGTGAGTGCATGCACCCTATAGCAAAAACCAGTAAAATAAAGAAAGATAAAATAAAGATTTAACATTTTTCTAATCCTTATTTAAACCAAAGATTTTCAAAGTATTTTCTAAGTACCGTTAAGGGCTCCACAGAAGGGCGTTGGGGCCACTTTTACAAAGCTGAGGAAGTAAAGCATCTCTGTCCCATCTCAAAAGCAACTGCAGCAGCCACATTTTGATCTAGGTTCCTGTGTACAATTTCATTTGAAAAAGAATTCTGCTTAAAAAATTTAATCTTCTGCTCTAGTTCGACTTGTCTTTGCTCTCCTTTCAACATTGTTCCCATGTAGGTGTCCTCCCTATAAATCTCAAGGCAATTACGAGGTCCCCTTCATTATAGCACAAAACCTAGGTAAGTAGCCTATATAGCAATTCCTTGACCTATCCCAAATTGACTTCTTCCAAGTCCCTAATTGTTCTTTATAAGAAAACAGGGTAGGACGGAGACTGGCTTTCTTACCTAGAGTATGCGTTCATTAGGGTTGCTGCAGTTTTCCTTCTAGCTGCTCCCTTTTCCAAAATTTGATAGACTTCATCCTTGTTGTGGACTGTAATTTCTTCTAACCCTTTGATTATCACGCCCCTCTGACCAAATAGCAAAAGAACTTCCATTAGCTTGGTTTTTAAAAAAATGTATACTGACTTCTCAAAGCCTCACACATTAATTAAGATTTGGAGACGGTTCATTCTCAAAGGCAGAATTACCTTGTTACGGGGATCATCAAACATCTGTAGTCTCTCAGAAACATCAGAAGATGGATTAAGAAGGTCAAAAAGTTCTTCATTATAGATTTCCAACAGAGACACTTTGACGGAAAATTCAGTACCATTATCAGAAAGTTTCTCAAAAATTTGATGAAGAGTACGTGGAATTATACCAGCCAAGGGATCCTGAAATTATAATATTAAAAAGGAATAAAATAGGGACCAGCAGTTGGCGTAATGGCTATGTTGCCGGACTCCCATGTAGTCGACCGCATTTTGAGTCCGAGACCCGGTGCCGTAAACTCCCGCCAGGTGTGTGTGTGTGTGTGTGTGTGTGCGTGCCCAAGATCCCGAGAGGAAAATGGAAGAGAAGGGATTGTGGCGTGGCCATCCCCCCTGGGGGGTGATTTCTCACTTTCTGTCAGGAAAAAAAAAAGGCAAGCACATGTGCCATATAGCAAAAAACCTCTTCAAAAGGAAAAAAAAAAAAGGAATAAAATAAGACTGCCGTTACTGAGGCAGTTAAAACAGGAATAACAAGGCCTCCCTTTACAGTCTATTTAAACATAAATAATATAACAGTCAGTTATGAAAATAACCAATCAATCTGATGTTACAGGTGTTAAGTCATTTGCAACATGTCAACTCAATGGTGTTCCTCTCATCTGCCACAAATCTGTCACACCTGTTAGCCTTCTTCATTACATGGAGATAAAGCTACTTAAAAGCCAAGTTGAGAAATCCTGTTCAACTTTCCTCATGAGCACATAATACTGTACCACCATTTTAATCAGAAAAGTGGTGTAACTAAAAGTATATTCCCTAATTATGATAATAAAATAAGGATGTTTTACAACTATCCAAGTATCTTAATAAAATTAATAAAACTATGCTTAGTCTAGTTCATATCTCTTAAGGTTACAATCATATAATTTTATTATCCATATATAAAGTAGGTTAATGACTCAACTATGTAACCACTAGAAAAAAGAATCTATCAGGACCAGCAGGTGACATGGTGGTTAAGGCACTGCACACTTCCACATGACCAACCACAGTTCAAGTCCTGGACCTGGTGGCATGCTTTCTCACTTTCCCTCTCCCCTCTCTCTCTCTCTGTCTCTCTCTGGTCAAATTAAAATTAATGAACAAATAAAATTCAATAAATAATTATTTAAGAAAAAGTAAAGAATTTATCTAAATGTCAATAACTTGGAAAATAACTTAATTATTAAACTTGTTTAATTTAAATATATTTCAGGCCAGGCCCCATAGCCCAATAGTTAAGGGATATGGATCCCACATGGCCAACCATGGTTCGAATCTGGCCCTCCCAATGGCTTTAAAAACATGCCAGGCACCTGTGTCAGTGCCCCAAATCTCAACAGGACAGAGAAATGGAGGAGAAGGGAGTGTAGTGTGACCACATCCAAGTGGGAAGTACAATCTCCCTCCCTCTCTCTCTGGTGAGCACATGCAGTTTAAAAAAAATTAAATTTGAACATATTTGATGGAAAACCTTGTGATCCTATATGCTTTATGTACTACTAAATAATATAATAATTTTAATTTCTTGAACACTCAAGGTTAATAAAGTACCATACTTTCCCTTGCTATTCTAACTTTTTGAGGCTCATTCTCTCACTACAAAGCCCTCTTTTTAAGCCCTACTCATACTCCAACTTTTCTCCAGTTATTTTGGTCCCACTATTCTGTCACAGACACCCCTTTCATCAGTGAACTGAGCCACACGTATTCGTCCTCCTTCTCCCAATGAGACTATCTGCTTCTTAAACAGGAGTCATACTATATTTTCATTTTACTACAGGAGTACTTTATGCTAAATTATACTTGACGTGAGTATTCTCACCTTAATTTTAAGACAAAAATCCCTCAGTAAAGTTTTACTCAGTTAAATTTCAACCACATTAGAGATCAAAGTATGTTATAAACAATAAATACCTCCTCCCAGGTATACACTTCATTAGGTGACCTTTCACCTTCCATTGTAAAAGTTTTTCCAGTGCCGGTTTGGCCATATCTGTCAAAATTAAACAAAGCATTAAACCAAAAAATATACATGCACCTTAGACTTTTTAATAAGCTTGAAAAACAGTGTCTCACTTACGCAAAGATAGTGCAATTATAGCCCATAATCACTTCATCCAGAATTGGACAAACAACACTTCGGTAAACATCAATTTGCTTAGTTGATGCTCCAAATACCTATCAAAAAAAATTTTGTCTTAAACAAAGAAAACTAAAAATTACTCATTTTAGTACATTTGTTTTTAGTAAAGTAACTCATTGAACCCAGTCAAACCAAATGACAACTTGAAAAGCACTGAAATTTCTAAGTGTAGCACACATCCAGGGAAACGGTGTATGTTAGGATGACTTTATATTAGTGGATAATCAAGATACAATAGCATCATTTTTTAAAAGAAGGCAAGGGGGGGCTTCAGGTGGCGTGGTGGTTGAGGGCGCTGAACTCCCACATGGCTGACTGTAGTTCAAGTCCCTGACCTGACAGCTTGCTTTCTCATTTTTCCTCTCTTTATCACTCTGTCCCTCTCTGGTCAAATTAAAATAAATAAATAAATAAATAAAAATAAATAAAATAATTATTTTTTAAAAAAAGAAAATAATAATAAAAAGAAGGTCAGTACCATATCAAAAGTATACATTTTCCTCGAGCTCTTGTCGGTCAATCCTCCAGTGCGTACACTCACTTCTTTCCGAGCATGATTGCATTCTACTACTGGATGGGCGTTAATTTTCCGCTCTGCCAAATTAAATGGTCTATAAACAGAAATAATCATAGTTATTCAAGAACTTTTAGTTACCAGGTCATCAATGACATTTTCAGTAACTATCTTACTTAACCACTATCTTTTTCAAGTGGTTACATAGTTGAGTCATTAACCTACTTTAAATATGGATAATAAAATTATATGATTGTAACCTTAAGAGATATGAACTAAATTAAGCATAGTTTTTAAATCTAGAGATTTCTATTAGTTTTTTTTTTTTTTTTTGGAGAGGTTTTC